CTCTCTCTCTCTCTTTATATATATATATATATATATATATATATATGACGTGTTAATGTTTTCATTTAACACGTCGTAACTTCATCCACTTTGAACTCTAAGAGGACTACGTTCTACTCTTTTGTTTTTAATGACCATAATAAATGGCTTTAGCATTGATTTTGGATATTAAACAAGGTGACTTTAACGCGGTTATTTTACTTTTTTAAGCGCTTCATTTCTCTTACCAGAAAAATTTCTGTCACTAATTTTAGAACCAATATATCTTATCCAAGTGCTGGCAAATGTGTTAAAACGAAGTGTAACCATTGAAAACCAAATAATTTTGGTTAAGTTCATGTTTAATTTATTTTCTGGCATTAAACTTATATTTTTTTAAAAATAAAGTCTGCTTTTTATACATTATTGCTCTGCTTAGAATGAATCTTGAAAATTACATTTTGTTATCAAAATCGTTAAAAGTTGGAAATGGAAGATTAAATACATTAAAAGAGTTTTTGCGCTAATCATACTAATACATATTTCATCTACTCCATTAAATGATTTTTACTTTTTGTCTACCCTACTTAATATTTGCTTATATTTTTTATACTCTTGATCTAGAGTTACTGGTTCAATTGTTTGAATATATTTACTTTAATTAGAATCATATTTCTTTGTGTTCTTACGTAAGATGTTTTTTTAATATTCCAAACTGTATTTTTTTTATATTGAGCTTTAATATTTATGTCTAAAAATTCAATTAACTGCAGATCATTAATTTTAATCTATCAAGAATATATTAGTCTTTTTTAAAAACAAACTCGATTAAATATATCAAATGAGTGTTCAATATAAGTTGTCAGTTTATCTTGTATATATCCAGGGTATATCCTCTATATCCAGTGTTAGAAAGCGCAACAATGTGCTTTGAAAATTGCATTGTATATTTCAGGCTTATATGCAAAACCTCAACTGTAAGAACAAATTTCTTCCAAAGATGTATTACATAAAACCTGCATACTACTTTAAATTTATTTTAAAATTATTTTTAAATTTAAATTAAAAAATTAAATTAATTATTAATTTAAAATTAAATTAAATTAAAAATTAAAAACTAAATAATTTTTTTTTTTAAATTTAAAAAAAATTATACTTTTGTAGTGCATTATTTTGAAGTTAAATGATTAGCACAACCTTACTTTTCAAATATATGTAACACTTTTGTCACCAATCGTTCAAACATACTTCACAGTTTTTTTAAAAATGTCTTGTAAGTTTGTTGCTTTTTTTAGTGAATTGAAATAGTTCTGTAGTTGAAAAAAAAAATTTTACTCCTAATTGTGCCTAATTTTATTTAACGATTTCAAAAAAATTTTAAATTTGCTTATTTTTGAAAGCTATGTTTGAGGGGCATCGACGCATTCTGGATTTCTTAAATATTTTTTTGAATTTATAAGTGCATAATTTTAATTATACCATTATGTATTTCAGTCCATAACAAGAGGTGCATTTGTAAAATAGAATGGGAATTAATATTTATTGCCATGAGTAAAATGTTTTTTAATATGCTGAGATATACAAAATATATTAAATACAAATAAGTTTTTAGTATCAAAAAGATAATTTACATATTATAATTAATTGTAAAAAAGAATAACTATATCAATTATTTTACTGTTTATTGAAAATTGCAAAAAATATAATTGAAAAATATTTAAATTTATACATGCGTTTCCAGCGCAGTTTTAAGTATCAATTTAAAAGCGGAACCATAATTAGGACATAGGTCTTTCCATTCAATTTTTTTGGAGGGGGGACTAGTTTACAAAAAAGCTTGCTCTCAATTAGAATGGCAAAGGCATAGTTTTAGTGAAAAAAATTTCTAAAGACTTTGATAGACTAGTTAATTCTTAGTAAGAATAGATTATTTGATTTGCGTTTCCCACTTCATAAATATAAGGAATCATCATATCATGATTTGTAGCAAATTTCATTCTAACACATTTTGTATTATATAATATAAAATTGCAGTACAATTTTTAGCATTTAGTATACCATTCTATCCCATTTTGTAGAGTATATAATAAAACATTCTAGCACATTTTGTAGAATTTAGTATAACATATGTTTTATCATATGTTGTAGCATAAACAAAATATAATTTAGCGCATGATATAATTCTTTAAAAAAATTCAAATAAATATTGATATAGCTTTTTTAATGAAATTAATGAATTCAAATAATGATAAATATATAAGAATATGAATTCAAAAAGTAAAGTGTTAACTTTTGAGAGGGAGTATGTGTTAAGGAATAGCAAAAATTACCTAAGGGGTAAAAAATGTCAAGAAATGTCTCTCCAATTTTTATATAATACCAAATATTCTTAGCGCATAAAATTTTTAATATTACACTTTCAATTATTTTTTTGTGTTTTTTCCAAATTGAATTTCGTTGGTTTATATTGTTTTAATATACACCGACAAGCCATTACATTATGACCACCCTGCTAATAACATGTAGGACCACCTTCAGCCCTCAAAACTGCTAGCACCCGCCGTGGCATTGATTCCACAAGGTGCTGATAGGTAGTCTGAGGTATCTGGTACCAAGCGCTCGCCAACTGGTCCAGCAATTCCCTCACATAGCGAGTGGGTATCGTGGCAGCAGGAATTCGGTTTTCCAAGTAGGACCATAAATGTTCAATTGGATTAAGGTCAGGTGAATTTGGGGGCCAAGACATGACTTGAAAGTCACTGGAATATTCCTCGACGATTAGACCCTTATAACATAGTGCATTATCCTGTAGGTAAACTCCTTCCCCCGCAGGAAAAACTGTTGCCATGAATGGGTGAACCTGGTCTGCAACTATGTTCAAGTAGCTTACAGACGTCAGGGATTGTTCTATGAGGATTATGGATCCTAATGTGTCCCATGAAAACGTTGTTCCAGGCAAGAAACCAGGAAAGCCTGACCGAGTCCATTGTTATAGATAGAGGGTGGTCATAATGTAATGGCTCTTCGGTGTATATGTACACGTACTTCTTTACTAAATAAACAAAGCCTCAAACTTCGTGTGTAAAAATCTAGCAAAGTAATTATGAAGATATAATTGTAAATATGATTTCCTTATGTGAGCTTAATTGAAGAATATTTAAATTTATACGTACGTTATCGATAGCATAATTGTCAAATTGAAACAGGAATATCTAGAGGAAGCTGCAGTAAATCAAATGATAATGATTGATAATCAATTGATATAAAATCAATATTATGTCATTTTATATCTCACTTACAACTGTTGAGAATTTTAGGAAAAAAATAAAGCATTGTTATTAATGTTACAAAATAAATTTTAAGGCTATCAGAGGTTCGCGGGACCTGCCATAAATTACGAACGAGAACGAGTTTTTTTGAAAAACCTATGCTAGAAAATATCTTGTTACGAATACCGATCTGTAATCTTGTCACGAATACCGATCTGTAATCTTGTCACGAATACCGATTATTTTGGTTGTTATTTACAATAACTGTATAAAATTTCGTACACCTGGCTTAAATATTAAGGATATCTAAACATTTTTATTTGAAAATAAATTTTTTGCCTAGCGTCCTACTGCTATAACTTTCAAAATGCTCAATAAAATTAAACAAACTTTTGGGAGCAATACTTAGTTAAAAAAAAAATTAAAAAAATTTGTGCAGGATATAAGCATTTTTAGTAGTTCTCTTATATTGCATATAAGTGAAATAATATTTTTTTCATAATTTTATCGTGATAAATCATTTTATAATTTTACAGTATTTGATAAATAATGAAAAAATCGAATTTGAATATTTCGAAAAGTTTAAAATTTTCTAGCAATTTAATAGGTAGTTTTTGCAATTTCTTAGAGAAATCTGTAAATAATAGGGTGTTCTCTTTTAAATTTTGTTTTTATTCTAAAGCAAAAATTCAATAATAAATTATAACATCCTACAATAATTGTCCTGACAATGAAAAGTGGTGGTATAAGGAAAGAAAAGATGTGAAATAAAATATAATCTAAGAGGGGATGATTCCCCTTAATGTCGGTGTATTTTTTTAAAGTCACCTTTTTAACAGTACAAAATTAAATTTATGAAAAACCCCTAAAATGGCAAAAAACACAAGAAAAATTTACTTTTATAAATATGTCTGTATTTCCTTAAACAATAAAGTAAGGTATCCGAAATTTTATAAAATTATTGTAAATAATAATTAAAGTAATTGATACAAGTTACAAGCTTATTGCTATATTTTCTAGCGTAGGTCGTTCCTCGTAATTTACTGCAGGTCCCTTTAACTTCCAAGGAGTAAGTACGAAAAATCACATGACTTAAACTCCTCTAAAGTTAGTCAATAATCCGCTTAGTATTTTGCGAGAAAACTGAAAGTTTCTCCTCCATTATTGTGGAGTAGTGCATTATGATGACTGGTTATTTTAAAATATTTTAAATTCGTGTTTATCTTTAACTGGCCTTGAGATTTAAAATAAATTTCACATATTTTAAACGTATGTAAAGAAATATATTAGTTTTTATGAAAACTTAAATTTATTTAATGTAAAGTCAGGCAGTGCTTAGTTTTTTTTTCCTCCATTTGTTTTAAACTACTCATGCATGATATTCTTGAAACATTACATTACATTATATGTACGAAAAAATTAGATAAGTTAAAAAGACATATAAAATATTTAAAAATATAAAAATGACCTTTTAAGAATTTAAATGATTTATTGTGGTCTCGTTAAAGAAGTTTGCAAAGCATCGATTTCTGAATTGTGGTAATATATTTTTTTTCTTACTGCAAGTTCTTTGTAAGCACTTTATTTAGTTCCAGTTAACGTTGAAATCCATCATAATTTTATTAACAAATTTTTTTAGTGAAAAATGTATAAGAAAAGTATTGTTTTTCCATAAAATCACATTTTTAATTTAGTTAACTTTGTTCTTTTCTTTTAGTTCCCGTTCGAGAAGTGATAATCATGGATGAACATGGTCAACGACTTCGAGATGTTATAGGACCGTACGATGAAGGGTCCTATGTCTCTCTCATATGTGAAGCTGAAGGTGGTAAGATCTCGTAATATTTATGTTTGCTTGTTTTCTGTTCGCAGCTTTTAGCTTTAATGTTTGCCACACAATTTATTGAATATAATTTGTAAAAATACATGGCTTTTCAATTATTTAATTTTGTTTCCTTTTAATTTCAACACTGGATGTCTAAAGATGTTTGATGTAATATGCTAAGGAAACGAGTTTTTATGCAAACCAAGTTTCAAGGTTAGTTAGGAAGTTTGTTTGATGTAAATATTATCTCATATGGCGTTGCTCATTGAAAAAAAAGACAAAACGTGTTTTTCGCTGCATGTCAAGCCATTTCCACTAAATAATTCTAACGATGCCTGTTGGTTGCGTCATTTGACATTGACATGATGTTTATACAGATGATGGTTATTTTAAAACCAATTTTCATAGCTTGCATCAGTTACCAGCGTAATCGGTCTACAAGTGTTACAGCTAATCTTTAAGCCTAATGAGAATAAATATCCTTAATTTTTCTAAACAGGACTGTGCCAATCATTTTTTTCCTTTGTTGCTTATCTTTAATTGATTTCTCACATCGTTGGTCATTTGTTTTTCAAGTGATTTTGTGTATTTGGTAGCAATTTGGATAATTTGTTTCTTCGTTATTATTTTTGGTTCTGGTGTAATAAATTACATGAAGATCAGAGGGTGTTTATGTACCATTTTTCATAAAAAAGACGATTAAATCCCCACCTGCAGCATTTTTATGATTACTAAGTTTTTTACAAATCAATGCTCTGAAAAATTTGTTTCCCGAAAGTTATTTCACAGTGAAGGTTGACCGTTTTGGGTAAAACAATATCAGTCAGCACTTGTAATTCGATTTTCTCAGAGTCATTTTTCATGGACATATATCGTTCTTCCACCTTGATCTTCCTATGCTTAAAAAAGATGCTTTGTTTTGCACAAAATATATATATTTTTCTTTTTTTATGATGTGTGTCAGTGGATCATAATGGCTTGATTTCAATCCTTAATGTTAAAGCTCAATTATTTTAATCACTCACATAGCTGCATGCAGACAAACATCATGGAAATTAAATACAACAAAATTGATTTATTTCGTGAAACAAAATTCTACTCGATACTATTAAAATTGATATGATCTGTATTAACTGCTGCGGTGATGTAAAAATGATCAGTATTTTTCAACGCTATTCTTTATATGGTATTCATACAGTTTTGTCAACTCGCATGTCTAAGTTCGTTTGACTTTTCGTATGTTTAGGTTAATGTGTTTATCAAATCTCTACCAAAACCCATACCATTAGAAATAATGGAAGCTACAAAACTAAAGATCACACAACCCTTTCAGGGGATGGAATTTTTCAACTCAAATAACTCCTATCATGCAATCGAAAAATAAATATCAGTCGAAATTCGAAAATTCAGTCGAAAAATAAATATTAAACCGAGAAAAGACCATTTTGCTGTAGTGGGGAAATGTTATAAATGAATCCATCATTCAGGTGTCTGAAAGTGGCAGCTATATAACAAAATTCCCATATTCTCTTTTTATTGGAAATAGCAATCAGTGGTGCCTTAGAAATGATATGACTTCATCAAACAAAATTAGGCAATCGTTTCATTGAATTAGTTGACGCAAATGTTAACGTTGTCGCAGATGTTAACATTCAAGTAAGGTCGGGAATTTTCCTGCTTCTACGTGTATCTCTAAGCAGATGTGAAACTAGTATTTGGGCCTATACAGTAGAATAACTTTGTTCTTTATTTATTGTCTTTTTTGAACTCGCTATTTTTATTAAGCTGTTGCCTATCTATCTATCCCTTCAATTTTCACTATATGAAAAAAGTTGTTTGTTTTAGTAAATGTTATCATCACTAGCAGTAGTAACCATTAGTTTTGTAACATCCTGTTTATGTGCATTCTAGATAAATTTATGTATATATATATATATATATATATATATATCATGCGA